TTCTATCATGGGTTATAAAAAAAAAAAAAAACAAAAAATTCGATCATGGATTACAAAAAAAAAAAAAACAATTCGTTCATGGATTACAAAAAAATCGATCAAGTATTACAAAAAAATCTATCATGGATTATAAAAAAAAAAAAATCTGTACGTGACTCGCCGATTCCGTACAGTGAATCGGCGAGTCCCTGTGCAGAGTCGTCCGGTTCTCTCTAGAACCGGATGATTCCCGTTTTTTTCGCCGATTCGATCCGTCCATGGCGATTCGTCCGTTTCGACTCGACGTTTTTTTAAATACTGACAAAAACCCCTTTTCAATCTTTGTCAAGTTAATAGAAAATATATAAAAAAAAACATATCACAAAATAAATTCTTTATTTTTTGAGATTTTTTATAGTTCTCTTTGAATTATTTTGAATATCACCGAGAGGGACACCCAATTTGGGGAAACTCACGCTCGCTGATCCAGTCCGAGTTGGCGAGCCTGAGTTTCGAGGACTCGGAACATGAATCCACTAACTTAGCTGCAACTGTGACAAAGTGGCCAAAATCATCCCCGTTAGATTGTTGAACTTGAGGTTCATAATTTTGACAACTTGAATTTGAGGATTACATATCATAAAGTCGTTTATACGTCATACAAGAAGGTTATAATTATGGGAAAATATTTTCATATCTTATATTTTTAAATTTTATATATCGATTGACCAAATATTTCAAAACATATTTCGGATCACATAAATGTTAGGTTTTATAATTTTTATGCCCATAAACTAACTTTTACAGCTTTAATTATATTTTTTAACCAAAACAAATTATAAAATAACAAACTTTTTTAAAGTTATCCTCTCTCTCATCCCCCAAACTTCTCCCTCTTCCTCTCTAACCCGACGAACCTGAATCCATGGAGTTGGGGGATTTGTACAAGGTATGGGAGATCAAGGTTCTGAAAAAGCCTGGAGAAGAGGAGGCCAAAAAGTTTATTGTGAAGGTCGCCAAACAGGTGCAGCCCATTATGCGCAAGCACAAATGGAGAGTCGAGCTTCTCTCGGAGTACTCGTGAGGTTCATTTTTCTAGTTCTAGGTATTTTTTTCTTGATTTTATCTCTGAATCTTTTCCTTCTCTGTCACTCTTTTCCATGTATTCGTTCTTCTTTTTCCTGATTTTTGCATTTCAATGGCATCCTCTGTATCCTGCCCCCTCTCCCCTCTGTCTATCTCTCTCTCATGCACTCACTCTCAATTCATGTGAAATTCCTTCATTTTTTTTATGACTCTCTCTTTCTAATCTGGTTAAGATTGAGGAAACCCAATATAGAATGGGAGTTCCTTGCATTTGAGGAGGTTCTTGAAACCATGCTTCAAACATGGAGAGAGAGGGGTCAGGGGAGAAAGAGAGTGACGGGAGAGAGAGAGAGGGGTAATACACAGGGAGAGAGAGATGGGTAATACACGGAGGAGACAGAGAGAAGGGGCTTGGGGAGAGAGAAATAAGGAGACGTTTTGAAGATGAGAGAAAATAATTTAAGTTTGAAAAGGTTTATTAATTTATAATTTGTTTGGGTTAGAAAAATAAGATTGAAGTGAAAAAATTTAGTTTAGGGGTTAGAAGATATAAAACTTTAGATTTTTAAAGTCTTTAAAATCTTAGGTGAAGATATGAAACTTAAAATATGAGGTATGAAGATATTTTTCCTATAATTATTTCTAGTATTTTTTTTTATGAAATCTGATATCACCTCCCAATTTAGAAAACATCTTTATTGGATTCGTTAAAAACAAACAAAAAAAAAAAAAAAAAAAAAAAAAAAAGAATCTTTATTGGAGTTTTTCATATAGTCAATTGTACACTCTATAGCAAGATTCCATTTAAAAGTCGATTTTTTCAAGATATCTTCGATTTTTTCAAGATATCTTCGATTTTTTTAAATCCGTTAAGAACTTCAAGTCTTTCAAAATATCTTTAAAAGTTTGCTAATAAAATCGATATAAATCTGTATTTTATCCTTTTGAGAAAAACTCCTTCCCTATAATTTTATGTCTTCATTTATTTAATATAATAGAATTTGGTCGAGAGTTGAGTACATTAAAAGTGAGAGTAAATTTAAGAACTTGAATTTAACAAAAAATTCCATAAAAGTTTTTGACCTATTCGTTTAACTGTACAAAAAAATACAAGCAATATACTCCCCAAAGCATACTATATCAAAACAATCATATATCGCAAAATAATAGGTATGAGTTAGAAGTAGAGTGAGCGGTTCTAAAGAGCGAGAGACAGATTCAGTAACAAATAAAGATTTAGGCCGTTAGGAATTCAATGTGGGATTCGAATTTTGGATTTTTTTTTAAGCATTTTGTTGCTTTCTTTCTATGTAAAGGAGTTCGATTAATTTCACTTTTTATTTTTATTTTTTATTTCATTGGTGTGTACAACATAGTAATTTGGATGGACCACTATTTTACATATTGGGATTTTTGTGTTTTACTCAACTGCAATTCTATATTGAGGTTTGAAGCTCTGTTTTGTTTTTTTTTCAAACAATAATCCTATACCTTGACTAACAGTTCTTTTTATTTGTTAATATAGTTCTTGTGTTTAGTATTGTTGTTGTTGTTTTATTATATGCTCCTAATACATCCATGATATATTTTGTATCGTGACAATAGATTAAGCATTGTAGTTGGATTTGTTGGAAGTTTAGACAAAATTTTCTCAATTACTATTCTTATAATACTAGGTACGGACATAAAAGTATTGTTCATCCATATTAGAACTGCAAATCACAATCCTCTATTGTGTCATCTTCATACATCTGATTTTTTTACTCTGTTTGTTTTAGTCAAATCTAAAATATTCACAATTGTTTAACTAAATTTTTGGGCGATCCATTGACTCGATTTTTTGCCTATGACTTTTGAAGTAAAACTGATTTATTGCCAAAGTTTTAGTTTGCCGATATATTATTCCTCTTTATAACTATGGTACAAGTTAAGCAATTCGAATTGAAGTTTGATGTCTAAGTTTTCAACTTTCTTGTACCAAAAAGTAAATGATTTTATTATATATTTTCTTGTAAATATGGGAGATGGACAAAATGTAAACTTGGTTAGTTGAACCTTTAAAAAAATATCGAAATTGATTTTCAACTCTTAAAACAACATTCATTTTGGAGAGAGAATTAACTCTGACCTTTCTTTCTTTTTTTTTTTTTCTTGTTTTTTCATAAACTCCAAATTAGATTCGGGTTTTTTAATTGATCTTGGAGAAATTTTCGAAAGATATTTCTACCCCCTTAGGAATACTGCCCATCTTCTCCCTTAGGCAAAAACTGCACGTAGGATTAGTCTTAGGACCCCCTAAATTTTGGAGATATAACCCCGTGTAAAGCATAGATTAACCACAATAAAAAAAAATTCTTATTGCAACCACTAAGCATTTGAAAAAACTAATGTCTCAAGATTAAATAGAAAACATTCAATTTTTAGATCGTTAGATCTAAGTGTTAGAAAACTCAAATTTCGAATTTTTCTTTTTATTTTGATAATAATCATCTAATAATTTTAAGGTAGTTTACAAAAAAATTAGATTGAAAAATTCCTCTTAAGTAGGTAATTTGACCGAGGGACTTGTAGGAAACTATACTCTGGAGGAGCATAGTATAGGTGTTCATATGAATTTAGATATTTAGGATCAAATATATCTCACCAAGACAATGGGCCCAAATTTTCTTCCTTCAAAGAGTAGTGTAACAATCCTAAAATTTCAAAAAAAAAAAAAAAAAAGGGAGAAAATATGCTTTTAAATAGGTGATGTTCTGTTTGAGTATGATGGTCCTTGAGGACCATCACTATTTTCAAAAGACTTTGCCTTTGCCTTTGCCTTTGCCTTTACTTTTTCTTTTGCCTGCTTTTGCCTCCTGCTGCTTGCAGCTGGCAACGTCCTTTAGCGGACGTGGTTTTCGTACGATAAAAGCAGACTTTTAACGCGACACCTCAGGTATGAGGTAGAGCGTAATAAAATAATATAATAATATGTTATAAGAATTTAAATAGGGGATGTGAGCACTCCCACCCTAAAACAAAA